GGGCCCCTTCAATACTAAAAGAACGATTCAAACCAGTAGTTTCAGATTAGCGCGTTCCACCAAACAAACACTTCAGCTTTATAATATTAGTATAAATATTATACGTTCTGCGGAGTTACTCGCGTTTGTGGTCACTGCTTCGTTTGTCAAATTTTTTGGTTTCATTTTATTACGAGTTGCAATGTTATTGGGTATTGGGTATTGTTAATGGTCTTTGCCACTGTCTGTCATCTCAAGCATAATTAAAGTATTAAATGTTAAAAAAAATCGGAATCCAACGACAGAATAGGGCATTAAAAACTCTTCAGTTTTATTATTAGCATAGCTCTTTTTTTGTTTCTTTTTTTAAGACAACTCCCGCACTAGAAATAACTCAGAACAACAATTTGTGACTCACACAAAGTGTCTTCCCATGTGGGGTTAGGACCCACAGCACTCAGCGTAGTAGTGAGTGACATCCGTGCAGTCAGATTAGATGTGTGTTTGCATTTTCTTACGATTATTTAATAGCGCAGTCTATACATTTAATCACACAAGCATTGCACGCAAGTTGTTTAGAAGTTATAGGTGACACTAGAGACACAAATGATTTAGTCTTTGACCTTATCCTACCAATGCAATATAAAATCGTCTGTAGCATCAATATAAGTTTACCTTTGAGCTTTAAAACTTTTCATCTAAAAGTTGAGTGAGCATTTAACTTGAGCTGTAAAGCAGCTTTAGTTTCAAAGTCCTACAAATAAGATCTTTATTGGTTCCCAAGTTTCCTTTAGTTGACTTAAATCCTATCGCGTCTAATATCTGAAACGGGGTAAATTTTTATTGTTTTCTTTGCACAGATAGTAATTTACGGCACGGTTTTACCCAACATGAGTATGTAAATAAATAAATATTCTGTTATTTTAAGTTGGATACTAAGATTTAATTAGCTTGTTACGATTCTACGATCCTAATTAATTAGATGAAACAAGCATAATACAACCTACCTGTTCTACCCAGGTTTATATATGATACTAGCTGACCCGGCAAACGTTGTATTGCAAAACAAAAAAAAATTAGGGATGGGTCACCCTTACCATTTAGGGGTATAAAAAATAGATGTTGGCCGATTCTCAGACCTACCCGATGTGCACACAAAATTTCATGAGAATCGGTCAAGCCGTTTCGGAGGAGTACGGGAACGAACATTGTGACACGAGAATTTTATATATAAGATTTTAACCAAAGCATAACTCACAAAATACGCAAATATTCTTTCTGCCTACCTCTTGTACGGTATGGTGAGGGCCTAAGCTTAAAGAAAAGTATATTTATACTTTTTATTCTTATCAGATCCCTACTTTTATTTAACCAATATCTAATAAGCACTTTCATTACTTGTTTGGGAGTTGATACTGTTCTAATATTATGCAAATTCTTATAACGCGCTACATGGAAGGGACCGTCATCCATCGCTTCTCCATTTCATATTTATGTATAGGGTTTTGTTATTAACTTCACATGAGTAGATAATCTACATTTTCACTTCGACATCTACATTTTAACGTGGCATAATTTTACAATAGCCAAGAATTTTTATTGCTTTAAATTAAGGAGTATTTATTTATTTATTTTTATCTTTATTGATTACAGTTAACACATAAGATACTTACAAATATATAGACGTAACAATCGGCAGTCTTATTGCTCACGGCGATCTCTTACAGGCAACCTTAATACGGATATTAGACATTTAAAAAGTCGGGTAGTTTACATACAAATAACGCATTATCACGTAAATATTTAAAAATATAAACAAAAGCATTCATACACAAATAAACACCTGTTCACATTACACATATATATATACATAAACATATATATATATATACTCGTATATATAATAGGTCTACTACTTATGAAATTGCCGTTTTGTATGCAATAAGTGAAAGTACTTATTTCTTCAAACTTTTTTATTTCTGTTATTCGAAGTAATCACCCATGCAATATGTAGACGCATCTTTGCCAACGCATTGGCAGTTTATTGATGCCCTTCTTATAAAAATCAGCTGGACGGGAGGCAACAAACTCTTCAAAGGCATTTTGTACTGCCTCTCGGGAATTGAATTTTTTACCCACTAAAAAGTTGTCTAAATTTTGGAAAAAGTTATACTCGGTAGGTCGCAAGGTCTTTGTTATCCATGTCAAATAAAAAAAAATATAGTGTGTAGATTTTTAATCGCAGGTTTACAATTATTTAAATATAAAAAATACACACAGTCGGTTTATAATACTGGTAAACATCACAATATATTCAATAACATTATATAAATAAGATTAATAATGTGATGAATCACAATTTTTTGATATAAATATAGAATTTCTCATAATTAACTAAGGCTTACAAGGAATCACAATTTTAATCTACGAATTACTACGATACACAGAGATCCCACGCTTCTTATTCTTAGTTGACGTTATGCGTTAATTAACCTCTTATACTAAACTACTTATACTAAAGATGGTGTTAAAAACGAGATAAAATTGAACGCAAAGAACACAGAAATAACGCAGTCTTTATAACTTCAATAATGTACTCCGATTATTCCGAGTATTTAAATTGACGTTTACAGGAATTTTCGGAATATTTTCTCTTTAGTTTACCCTTTAAAGCTACACTTTACAAGGTGAAATAGGAAATGATGATTATACCTACTTACGTATTCAGTGTAAGGAAAAAAAAAAGTTTAATTCTCTCAAATTAAATTTTTAGTAATGCCAGCGGCCTTCGTTCGGATGATGTTTTAATTTAAGAAAATCAGTTAAGACTCTTAATAAAATTTCTTTTAACATAGGATTGGTTCGCTAGCTACCTAAAACTTGATGTTCAGAACAAAAAATAACTTTATCAATATTAATGTTTGGACTCAGTGTATGAATGTCAAAACCAATCCGGTGGACTAGAGAATGCCGACGCAAGAAAAGTGGTAACACTGGTAAGGGTAGTTCACTCTATCGCAACCTATCACAGTTGCATCAGGGAAATACTTTCCGCAGCAGCAAAACTCTACCTTGTGTGGTCGTCTTCGAAGATTTCTTTTCCTGATCCTCTCCAGCGGTACAAGCGGCAAAGTGGCCTGCAAATCTCCACTGCTTTATTGAACACTGATTGTATTAAGTACTCTCGGTGCCAGTACGTTAATATAGGTATTACAATAATATTCTATAGTCCGAAAATATCATCCGTACTTCTGGCGCACTTTATTAAAAATTTAAGATCGCTGTAATATCCTACATGTCACAATAATAATCGCAGGTTTTTCATACTTGCTAATATATCAAATAATAATACAATCATAGTTTATATTCTTAATTAAGTATAACAAACGATAACACAATCATAGGCCCGTCTTTATTAACATTACACAGAAGTTTATTCCTAATACTATGTCTAAATAACATTTACATTTAATAAAAATCAACATTTTAATTTATATTATAATAGAGCAATTAATTTAATCACTCTGATTATCATTTAAAGTGAAATAATTAATATTTACAAAGATACATGCTAGTATCACATGGCAATAATTCATAAAATACAAGGACCACCATACCCCATTTATTGAAATAAATCAATTTTACAATTTAAATCGCGTTATAATTTATATTTACTTAATTCAAATGAAAAATATTAATTATAATTCGAAATGAACTGTAAAATTGTTTACATTCCTATAAATGCTTTTAGCAAAAATACTTATTGTGAAACTAGTCTATCTCTCTTATCTGGCTCGGTTTATATTGACATAGTTTGACATTTAAGTAGGATAGTTTTGTTCAAAGTCTTATATAAATATTATGAAACCATAATAAACATAAGTAATCTTTTTAATTAAGATTACTTCAAAAGTTTGACTTTTGCAATGACTTTCATTTATTAAGATTATAATAATTAATCATTTTACATTATTTTACCAGTTACTTTTCATCTTTGGTTCACGATTTTTTTCCCTTTATTGTCTAATATAAAATTCATACATGCATAAGTTTATCTATTATATACCACACAAACACACCATATTATAATTTAGTATTTGCATTATAAAATTAATCCATAAATATCATAGCTTATTTCAGAATAATACATATTCCCCTCCCCCGTCTAAGAAATTTGAATGTTTAGTTTAATCTTCAGCTTAAATCTTCTTTCTCTAAGAGTTGAGCAAAATGGTATATAAGTACAACAATATATTTTTAATATTAATTAAGCCACCATTATTATTCATAGCTTTTTTTTACTTCCGCTTAAATTATAAACTTTACTAGTTTGCTCAAAACTAACACTTAGCAATTATATACGAACACTTTTACATTTATTTGAAGACATTCAATCAAAAACAAAAATATATCTTGTCTCCAAACATTACTTTTACCGTCAATTATAGTCATACAAAAGTAGCGATTTCACTAGAATAGTATCTGTGTACATGATCAATTTTATATCTAACTAGCTGACCCGCGCACAACTTCGTCTGCGTCTCTCAATAGTAATAAATTTTCTCCATTTTTGAAACATTCTTCATTGGTGTTCCGCTCCTATTGGTCTTAGCGTGATGATATATAGCCTATAGCCGTCCTCGATAAATGGGCTATCTAAAACTGAAAGAATTTTTCAAATCGGACCAGTAGTTCCTAAGATTAGGGCGTTCAAACAAACAAACACACAAACAAACAAACAAACTCTTCAGCTTTATAATATTAGTATAGATAACATTTTGGGAAAAGGGTAGGCAGATGATGAACATTAGCAGTGCGTTTGATTTTTTTCGTGAAAACATGATGCAATCAATAAGTTTATATGATAACATATCTAGAATCTAATTTTGGGCACCAACATCTTATTAAAAACTATAGTAGTGACTTAACTAAGTATTTCACAACTGCAGTCTCAAAAATCCATACAATATTTTGGGTACCCTGGAGTACCTCTGTTGTCAATTCTGTAAATAATTAGTAAATCACAACCGTGTTCTTAATGAAGAAAGCGTCGGTGACTTTCTAACGTCGTATACATCAAATAATCTACTACCTGCAGCCGCAAAAGCCGTTTGCTTAACAGATTCATTCGGCTCTTCTACTACTGTTACATTGGTCTTTTCCGAAGATTCCTTCGTTACTACATTTTCATCAACAGTTGCATTTTTATCTGTATTAGTAGCAGTAAATGTCCTCTTACGACCTGGCAATTTTCGGCATATTTTTGCAACTAATGGATGCAAAAGACGTTCGTCAAATGCGTCATTTTCATTTCCTGTTATGAGACCAATAATATTTCCTACGGTAACACAAGTGATTGTGCCAATGACTGCATACCACATGTAGGAGACTGCGTACATATTCTGGAGAGCGGTTGTCCTGAAATATATATTTTTTTATTCATCATTTGCGAATTAAGATTAAGAAAATAATTTTTTTTCAGGCCTACTAATATTCCAAATTCGAAAATAATTCTGTTACGCTTTCACGACTACACTGCTGAACTGATTTTAATGAAATTTTACATGGAGACACTCTGGTTCTCGAGGAAGGACATAGGCTGCTTTTCACCGCGATAACCGACATACACGCTAATGGCGGAACGGGCAAAAGCTAGTTTATTATAAACGTTTATTCATATATTAATCGGTAGTTGTATAAAAGTGCATGTCTATAACGTAATACTTACACAATAGTTTCAGTTGGTTCCAAGCGTGTATTATTCAAAGTTCGGAGAAATGGCGCAAGTTGAATTAGTGTTTGGTTCACTTCCACCGGTAAACCTTTGTGGTATAAGGCAGAAGTGAGTGTTCCGTTAACACATTTCTGAAGAAAAGAGAAATATTTAAAGCAGCTAAACAGCCAACCGATATCACACAAAAATCTTCAAAAGAAATTTGGTAAACCTCTAAATGGTAAAAACTTCGAAGTCAATATAGAACCACAGCTTATTTTAAGTAACACTAGATTTCTTCTTCTTCTTACCTCTGTAGACACGGGCAGCATGGCAACATGTTTGTCAACATACAGAAGTCGTCCCGCTGCCATCCACGTTGTGATCGTATGTGAGGCAATCATACCCCATAGAGCTCCTTTCCCGTTGGCTACAGGGCATAAAGCGGCTAGTACAAACACTCCAAGTAGAGCACCAGAAGTAGCTGATGTGACTAAAAGCGAGCCCTCGACGACACCTCCGACCATTCCCACACAAAGGGATAGGCACATTATGACAATAGCTGGAACGAAATAATAATGTATTAAAGACAACGATAACAAAATAACACTCATGAGTCGAAACTAAAATTTGAGATTAACAGTAAAACAAAAAAATCTAGGATTTTATGCGCCATTATATAATTTATCTGATTATCATAAAACATTGTAGACACATTACATTAAAAACATAAAATGAGATATTATTGTTGAAGATTATAGTCTCAACTAGAATTCGTCCCGAAAAGGCAAAATATTTTCTGATATTTAATGTAAAATCAAATTTACTTTAGCCATGTATTGGTCTGTCTGTTTCTATGCATAATATGTATGTATTTACAAAAAATAGGGTATATGTATTTCTATCAGTTGTCTCGTACCCATAGTAGAAAGCTCTGCTTAGTTTGGGACTAGATGGCGTTGTGTAATTGTGGTAAAATAAAAAAAAAACTAGAAAAACATAACAACAGATTGATACATTTTAGCATGTCTTGGCCGTCAGTCTCAACGGCAACAACAAACATCTTACAAAAATACAACGATACATATTGTGTTGGCGTATACCCTTGGTTACTCAAGAATCAGTCAACAATAATACATTTTCAGTTTGGTTCATCCACAAGCCTATTAAAAAAATTTAAACTTTTCTCGCTGTCTATGAAACAGCAAAACTTACCATAAAAAATACCAATAATCTTGATGATAGTCAGCTGTTGTTTATCGCTAATGTCTTTAAAGGCTGGTGCAGAAGATACAAAGTCTTCCCAAGTTACAGTCGATAAAGAATTTACGTTTGATACCAGGAAGCTGCAATAGAAAAATAACTTACTATATACTTATAATAATATACAACCGTATACAACCGTTATAATAGTATACCATACTTTGTGGAACGAAATGTAACGTAACCTACTGAAAATCAAAACTACTCGTATATCTTTAATTATATATCTGTTAGATATGCCTTTCGCTACCCCTTCAAGGTTATAAAGGTTAGTACAATGTAGGTGTTTAAAAAATCTAGATTCATTGTGTCTACATTTTGCTGTAGATTAATCAATCAATCACCCTTTTTTTATTTATTTTTCCTGGGGGGTGATTATGTCATACTCAAACCGACCAAAAACCACACGCCCTCTCGGGTACCAGTAGCCGGGGAACCAGGTGCATCCTAGCAATGAAATCCCTGGTACCCCGACGTACCTTGGGACATCCGCGCCGTGTAGATGACCCTATCCTGGAGTGTTCTAAACCTCTCCCGGTCCCGCTCCGCCATCTCCTACGCAAGCATAACTTGCTCGCAGAAGAAGACGGCGGAGTTCCACATACTTTCGCTCCGTACCATGGCGGCAATCATATTACCGAGCGAGAGGACTCCCACTCCGATGGCCACCACGAGGTCACGCCTCTGCTCCACCCACGCCGGGCATTCTCATAACGTGTGGAGTGCCGTGTTCACTTTCAAGTAACCGCAGTGCTGGCACTTAGACGTTGTCTCCTTGCGGATCAGACACAAGTGATCTCCGAAGTATCCTTTCTCGGTGATCACCTGCATCAGCCGGTATGAGAGGGTTCCATAACGCCTCTCGAGCCAATACTCCATAACAAATCTTACCGCCGCAATAACGGCGTGCCCGAATCAAGTTTTTACCTAGACCAAAACAATTGGTCCTGTTATACTTATTACTGTCTATGAATGTTTAACTTGCACTATCTTACCTCAACGCTCCATTAAACAGACTCCCCAAAAACAGTCCAAGCATTCCAGGCAAGAAACTGTACTGATCCTGAACATAGAAAGGCAAAATCTCATCAGTCGCCGAAATCTGGCCCGAAGATAGAGGGTCGCAGTACTTGTATAAGGCATACAAGGCCATGCCAACGAACCAGGATAAGCTGAACAGAACTGTTACAGCAGGAACGTTAGCTAACAATGTTTTTCTGACTCTGGATTCACTGGACATTGAACAGTATCTTTGGACAAACGTCTGCTGGCAACCGTATATAGACACAGACATAAAAAGCTGGCCGATGATAGCTGATAATGTGTCGACACGGACAGTTGGATCGCCATGGAATCTGAAATACGAAACATTTTGTTTTACATGTTATACACTATTAAATACAATTTTGAAAAAGCACACGGTGAAATTACAAGTGCAAGATTTAGGACTGGTTTTGTCAACTCATGACATGACTTTGTCATTAAAACTCATTGTGGGAAAATTTTAAATATTTTTCTCATATTTGTAATATCAAACACTTGACTCAGACTTGACACAGAGCTCAACTTGTATACAAAACCTTCAATAACAACATATACTAAACTACATTTTTTCAGCAACAAACTAAATGCTATCGATGATGTGATTTACTATAAACCAGACAATCTCAAAACTATGATCCGTAGTTGTCTATATATCAATATTAGCGGATCATTATGTTTACATTTAACAAAACAATACAGTATACATTATATTACCAATAACAATAGTAACATAGTAAATGTGTCCTAATACTCACTGCATGAACTTCATTCGTCCACCGTTAATATTAGCATCCAAGACAGTCTGAGGTCCTCCAGCTCGCACTGTAGCTTGGATAATGAAAGCTCCACTTACTAGTATCATTGTCAACGTCTGTATTACATCGGCCCTGAAATATATCAAATGGAAATTGAGGAGAAAGTAGTGATTCAAATATATTTTGCACAAATTGACTACTTGTCATTTATCTCTTTTATAAATTTTGTCGTAATCAAGAATCCAGTATTATATACATATATTTAAATCGTTTTAATAAATAGCAAATCATCATCATCATCAACAGCCTTTAACAGCACTGCAAAGAGAAGGAAAACTTGACACAAACCCTATACCAACCCGTCTGGCCAGCGTGGTATTGTAGGCCAAAACCTCCTTTCTAAGGAGAGGCTTATGTCCAGCAGTGGACTATTAAATAGCAAATAATAATAAATAATTCATTATCGTCGCGCAATGATTGTTGATATCGCCATTCATCATGACGAGAACCTCGTGAAAAAGAAAAAGAAATATAACATTTGGATATATCTCAAAGATTGTCGATATGTGGAATGTGGTTTCGGCGATTATTGGTCCGATGGTCGTATCTGTTCATAGATTAATATTTTCATTTAAAATGTAATAAAGAGAATAATCATCTGACACACAATGCCTTCTAGTTTCAAACTAAGCAGAGCTTGTACTATGAAGGCTAGATTGACTGATAGAATACTTATTAAACATACTTTAAAAAAATATAGAATATAGAATCTTCTTGCCACAGCAAAAAAAAAATTATATACTAGAGAAAAATGTCTGAGTGTTATATTAACGTCTGTCTACTTCACGGTATACCGATCGCATAACTAATTAAAGTAAGTGCTTAATTTGTATGAACTGACAAATATTTTGTCTAGATTATAGCAACTGTAATCACAGGCTGATTGTAAGCCAACGATTTTATTTTTATTTATGCTACCATATAACTAAGCTACATGTACAGACTAACAATGTCTGTATAGTAATGTACCTACTGCAGGATAATACCAAGAGGCGTATGTACCTAATTGCCGCTGCTAGACCTCCGAGCAAGTTGAAAACGATCCCCACGATAGTTAACGCAGCTGCAGATGCCCAGTGTGGTAGTGCCAATACAGCGTGAAATGCTACTGTTGGTGTGTATACTGTCACAGAAAGGTTCAGAACTTGACGGACTAAAAATGTGGCTGCAGCCATGCGTCGTACCCAACTTGAGCCGAAACGCATCTGAAAGAATAAATTTGAATTTTAAACCAAACTTTGTAATATATGAAGTGATTTCGGTTGATTTAATTTTTATGATTATTTGTATAACCAAATTAATCATCTTTGGAGATTGAATTAGAGTTGGTTTAATAATTTTAAATGATAATAAAAATCTTAGTTGTTGCGAAACCTTCTCAGGTGTGTCTCCAGTAAGATTCCACGTTGTCGTAACAAAATACCTATAGATCTCCTATAGGTATTATAGAGGTCATCAAAAATTTAATCATGAAAAACAATTAAGTTTCATCATACATAGAAAAGAAACTTCCAATATTTTATATTAACATAACGATCGATTACATTAGAAGCAATAAAAACTAGTTTAGAAATAGAAGAGAAAACCGTAAAGGTATCTAATTATTTATATATAGGCATATTTCGTTTAAGAAATAATATAAAATACCTGTAAGTATTCATACACGGAGTTTGTATGAAGCCTATAGTACACTGGAACGAAGATCCAACACACCAGTGGAAAGGCCAATATGATGCCATACAAAGTCTCCCACATCGCAGACCCATAGTAGACCAGCTCTGATGGGAAACCTGGAAAGGAAAAGAAGTGCCTACATTTTTATATTATATTATCTTTCTCTACTAGCTAGTATTCAGGCTTTGGTGTGCATTGTAATTGCCTTTTACTATAATAGTAATGATAAATCAGATGAATTGTTAATAGGTATTATAAATAAAAGGTGAGGTCATTGATCGACCACCTGTCTTTTTTAATGTAATAATTTAATTGCTTAGGCAAGGTGTAAAGATTATTAACTTTCAAAGTGACAGCTTTGCTATAATGTTTCTTAACCTTAAGACAACAGATCAAGAGAGCAACAGAACCAGTGTAACACGACGTTAAATTCATTATTGTATTCATTTGATGTTGTTGACATACTCGTATGACTTCTAAAGCTGCCTATTTCATTAATATTTTAATAGCACATAGAAAGAAGCTACGGCAGATAGACTTCTATAAATATAAAGTGTGCTCCAAAGATAAATTATTTAGTAGGATATCGAACTCATTGCTAGTTTTAAAACTAAACATTAACCTAGCTCAATCAAAGGTCAATAACATTTGATTCACAACACTACTCTTAAGCAGTACTAGTAATTAGACAAAAAAAATGTTGTTTATTTCCTTCATGAAAAAATTTTACACAAATATTTTGTTTTTTTTTCGTTCAATACATACACAAAGAGAAGCTATTGACTCAGAAAGAATATTTTAAAATAAAACTTCTTTTCTCATATTGGCATGCATTCAATTAGTACACAATGTACTTTTTACAGAAACAAATATAGTGCTAAATTTAAAATAACTTTAACGCAAACTTTGAAGAATCAAAATAACCCAAATTAAATAACAGTTACAAACAGTCTGCAAAGAGAAGGAAAACTTGAAACAAACCCTATACCAACCCGTCTGGCCAGCGTGGTATAGTAGACCAAAACCTCCTTTCTAAGGAGAGGCCTATGTCCAGCAGTGGACTAGTATAGGCTGTTGATGTGATGTGATGATGTGAAATAACAGTTTCAAGTGGTCGAATCTTTGATGACTCCTGTATAGTACAATAATTTTTCTACCATTTTACCAAAACTACATTAATACATTTTACAAAAAACCGTCCGTGTGGAGACGGATTAAGAATACAGAGTGTCACCATTCCTATTCATGCCGTGGGTATCGTAAGAGGCGACTAAGAGAGCAAACTACGCAGGACAACAGCACTGCAAAGAGAAGGAAAATTGAAACAAACCCTCCATGCCAACCCGTCTGGGCAACATGGTATAGTAGGCCAAAACCTCTTTTCTAAGGCGACGCCTATGTCTAGTAGTGGACGATGGAGGGCTGCTAATGATGATAATGAAGATTAAAAACACCTCACTGTTTAGTGAATGTTCATAAATACTGCAACTACAAATACATGGTATAAGTTAAGAACAACAAACACGTAATTGCGTTTGACGAACCGTTAATAAAACGTATGTTTAGAAGCCTAACAAAGAAGACACGTTTTCACACCATGCCGTTACGGTACCAAATATTTTGGTCGCGCAAGTATCATTCATTTTAGTTTTTTAACTATTTTTTTAATACTACTTTAGTAACCTATTTTCGAGAAAATTACTTTTAAGACAGAATACTCTTATATATACCACCATACCAATATACCAGAAAATATATTTATAGACTGGGTTATTTTTGGGTATTATTGCTTTGCTATTAAAACTTTAGATACATTGAATATTTAGTTAAAAACCTGAAATGCATACCTTGAAAATACGTTAAACGTGAAGAAAAGGTTCATCGACGTAACTTAGGTAGTAATAAAAGACAGGGACAGATAAACACTGACACATGATGTTACTATTTAACTATTCATCGCACCCATTTTATTATTTATCTTCACAATAAATGAAGTTATTTCGCTTAAGTGACACACACGTACCCACAATATGAGTGTGCAGAATACCGAAACAAAACACATTTAGACAGCGTGTGAATGAAAACATCAGATCTTTATGCAAACTAATTGGAAATCACACGTACGAACATAAAATTATTTGGATATCTCTCATTTTTGTATTTATCAGTGTGTGCATTTTCATATATTTAAATTTGTTTGTATATATGTTTAAAAAATTTCATAGTAATCTTATTATTGAAACACCTGTCATCACAGGATCTTCTGAAAATCGACTGCAGTGCAGTGCAAATTTAGGAAGTTAAATAATATAAAATAGAATACTAACACTAAATCAATAAATAAAATACTTGTACGATGCTTGCCGTTTTTTTACCATTTGCAAATAAGAACAATAAAAAATAGGTCTTGACTTACTCATTTGCAGTGAATGATTAAAATATGTGCGCGAGGTTGACACTAGTGCAAAGAATTTACAATGATTAGTAATAATATATACTCGTACAATTAACTACACTTTGATTAATTAAAATATTTACATATTAGTATGTATATGAATGCTTTAACTGTATAGTTTACGTGTGTGTGTGTCTGTGCGTGTGTGAGGGTGTTGGTGTAGGTGTGTGAGTGTGTATGTGCGTGCGCTCGTGATTGCTTGCGTACGTGCCTATCTGTGACGAAGGACGTACGAGGTAAATTATTATGATATTAATATTATACTGAGCTATTAAATGTCAAACGTCTTCTGTCAAACAAATTTGACAGTGTGTTACCCTGGGCAGGTATTCAAGCATGTCAAAATACTTTTATAAATGCCAGATATCTGCAAATTATTAATAATATCATCAATAATTCTACCATGAAAGTAAAAAGTAGTAAAAAAGTTGAAGCTGGAAGAAGTTTTAAAAACCTTTCAAAATGATATGGCCTACGTGGTCTTAAGTTCCCAGGATCAAGACTGAATAACCTAAAGTTCTCTAAGTAAACTTTGGGTTAACAAGAGAACTTTGACTTTTTTGCAGATCATCAGATCTGTAAATTATGATCTATGAGTTAAGCGATGTCACCGTAAAGGTTGGCTTGGAAATGATTCTCAGGAAAAATAAAACCATAACTAACGTTTATTTAATTTGATCAAGAAATGAATATAAGAAAAAAGAAGGTAAATAAGATAGACAGGCGCATACATCTCATGTGTTTGAATTGAAAAGAACATCAGAGCGGAAATCAGCTTGTCTATGAGTTTATATTACCGGTACTTACCAATAGAGCAGAAATCTAGGTCCTAAAATACAATGAATAATTTCTTTCTGTCTTGATTTTACGCCTTTACGCCTTAACAGTATCCAAGAAGAACTAATGATAAAAGTCAATTTCTGTGTGATATGGAGTAATTGTCAATGTAAGTTAGGACCTTGTGTATCTACAGGTGTTAATAGTGCCTTCTCAATTAGAATAGTTGGAGGATTTTTCAAAATAAATATTCAGCCTCTTTATCAATGGTCAAAAGATTTTTTACCTTAAAATTTAATACTTAAAGTAAAGGATTTCATACCTTGTCAAATACGCACTTAAACAATATTGTACATCTAAAAAATATTTAAGAAGTTAGGTACATGTGCATTGGAAAAGGGCAAACAGACGCAACAAGTACTTAGGTGTAACATATATTTTATAGGATGCGTTAAGTACATATTTAAAAGTTGTACACGTTACGGCTAAGTAGGTATAATAAAAATACACATACGTGATAAAAATGTCATACTCGATGGTGAATGAAGGATTTCAACACATTTATCTACATATAGCAATTACTAATTTAATGATTATTTTGTTTTATGTAAAGAAAACATTAAATGGTAGATCGCTTTAATTGCCCAGAAATAGATAATTTTAGTTCGAGCTATTGTATAATCTCGCAAATCCTTTTATTTTGACCTGTCTATGAGTAAGAATATATTACATTTTCATTTTTTCAATCCTTTATTCACAAAAAGACCCTTATGACAAAAGCCTATTGCCGTAGCTCCACATCAACATCACTTCAACAGCCTTTAATAGTCCACTGCTGGACATACGTCTTTCCTTAAAAAGGAGGTTTTGGATAACTATACCACGCTGGCCAGACGGGTTGGTATAGGGTTTGTGTCACGTTTTCCTTCTTTTTGCAGCGGTGGTGTCCTGCGTTGTTTTGAGCCCTTAGTTGCCTCTTACGACACCCATGGGATGAATTGGGGTAGTGACATTCCGTATTCTTAATCCGTCACCACACGGTTTTGCCATGGCTTGGTGGACCGCAAAAAGTTTTTGCCTCCATGTACGTAAGTGGCATCAAATTATATTTGGCATATAATATGGTAGTTTGATTTAGCCCATGTAGTGATGATCTTTCAAAAAAAGTTGCCTTTGAGACTTATCTTTATTCAACAGCCAGACATTTAACAGCCTGAATAGCTACTATAGCAAATTTAGTGTGTGTGTGTACACGGAACTAAAATTGCAAATTTATATTTTTCTTTTATTCTTGACTGAATACTTGTTTTTTGTTTTATCTAACTTTATTACTTTATTACTAGTTTATTCCCACTTCTCAGGTGTTCCTAGGTCGAGGCAACATGCGCCAACTTAAAAAAAGTTGAGCAAAATACCCACTACCCAGTACCATACGCTCCAGACCTAAGGGTCTTTTTAGGTTTCTTTCATAACTATTATCAATTTATTAAAAAATTAAGCTTGTAATTGAAAAAAAATGTATAATGTGAGCGAATATATCGCTTTCGGAGCCCCCGTGACGTTGGGGGCCTTGGGCACGGGCCCCGTGTGCCCTTATGGTAAAGACGGTACTGTATGTTTATGTGTGAGAGAAAGAGTTTAATACGCCTCTGTTCACCTCCTTCGAGGATACAGGCATGAATGTTTATACGTGAGAAAACATACTGGTATTATACAAATACATTATTATAATTTTTTGTCATAACAGATTATGGATGATGCGGTATATAAACGTTCAGTTTTTTATGGACTAGTGTCCACGGTAATGGCTGTGTTGGTTTTATTATGACATTATTTTAATAATCACGATTATGTCCCCATAGTGGCAACTATCCGTGTTGTATA